AGTCCCACATCAGGCTCCCTGCTCAGCAGGGAGTCTGCTTCTCCCTCTGACCCTCCTCTCTCTCATGCTCTCTGTCTCTCATTCTCTCTCTCGCAAATAAATAAAATCTTAAAAAAAAAAAAACAAGGGCCCAGCAAAGCTAAATGTTCAAGGAGTGGGAAGAGCGAGGTGTTCCCGGGCCAGCTGACCCCTGTCTCTTTCCACCTGTAGCTCTGAGAAACACCGGTGTCATGAGGTCATCCTGACGGCCTACAACATCATCGGCGAGAGCCCAGCAGCGGGCCCATGGAGGTGTTCGTCGGCGAGGCCGGTAAACTCTGGGTGCCCCCGCCATCTGGGAGGCCTGGCCTGGCGCTCTCAGGGGCCGAGCAGTGTGCCCGTGTTGAGGAGCATGGTGCCTGTGCGAGGCCGGGAGGCTCCAGGTCCCTGCTGGGAGAGCTGGGACTTGCTGAGGACTGGGCTGACCCGGCGGCCTGAGAGACCCGTCCAGTCTTGCTTTCAGACCTGAGGGTTCATTTCACACCCAGAGCCCTCCTCGTGTATCCCAGGTCGTGCTCCTGGAGAGAGGGGGCTGTCTCCATGGAAATCCAGGCATATGGGGACCTTGGCCTCTGCCGGGAAGTTTGTGCTTGGTCGCCCATGGTCTCTGGTGAGCCCCAGCAGCGGCCCAGCCCCCACGTCAACCTGACCTGCTCACAGCTCTGTCGCAGGTCTCAGAAAGCCATGTAGATCATTGTTTGTTCCCCTTTTAGATAAGATGCAGCCCCTGAATTTGTTTCAAGGGCTGTCCCTTCTGTGGAGGCTCCCAGAGAGGTCATGTCATGTGTAAGCAGATTGGGCTCCTGTGTGACCTGAGGGCCCTGTCCGCTCTCCCGCCCTGTGCCGGCGTCCTGCGCAGGTCAGCTGGGGCAGGTAGAGGGCTGAGCTTCAGGCCAGGAACAACAGGAACTCCCTCTGAGCACAGAGCCCTAGGCTTGCAGCAGAAGGTGGTTCAGTCTCTGGGCCTGCCTGCAGAAATGTGGCAGATGACCTTTCGAAATTTGAAGAGGTTACTGTTATAAAACAAAGGACAGCACTGGGGGCCTAACTTGGCAGGATTTTTCTGGAACGGTCAAGCAACCTCTGCAGCAAGTGAGAAGGAGTGAAGTACGATGCCTGGAGTGTAGGTTGTGTTGGCTTCTCTGTAGGTCTGTCGCCAGGGGTTAGGGGTCTGGCTGGTGGGGTGGGGTCTGGGGAGCCAGCATTTGGGGCAGATGGGACTCACTTCAGAGGAGCCCCCCGAGCCCGAGAAGGAGCATGGGCAGGGAGGGGAAGTGCCTCGCGCCATCTGGAAGGCGGGGGCTCCAGTCCTATCTGGCACCTGGGCCCACGTTGGTCCCCACGGGGGCTGGGGTGAGGGGAGCGCACGGCCAGCCGGCTTCCATCCGCAGCACCTGAACTGCCCATGGGCGGCCTGCAGCCCAGACCCGGGCCACTGGAGGCACAGCCTGAGTCACAGGGGCCAGGGCAGAGGCTCAGAGGAGAGGACTGGAGCCAGGGAGGGAGGCA